AGTCTCAGGTGTAATTATTAACATGTTTACGGTGCTTGTTTCTTTCAAGGGATGGCATCTTTCCTAGGGTTACTCTTAGAGCAGTAGAATGCAACTCCACTAGTAGATTTATACCAGAGACGAGAGTCCAAAGAAATATTTTCTGTCTTCTCACTCCTCCCTTTTTGATATTTCATTGAAGTGTCTAGCTTTTGGTGTAGCAGCGCTTTCTGAGGGAGTCTGCATTCTCGGACTGATTCTCTGATTGCTGGGGCTGCCGAACTTCCTACAGAAGAGGCCCAGCACCAGCAGATAGGGTAAGGCAGCTGCTGAAGAAACAGCCAGTGCTATGGACAATGCTCGGACACCCACATGGCTTTTTTTTGGTTTTGAGATCTCCACCCAACCAGTGAACTTCATGTGACCCCTCCCAACAGCACCACTGGTTTGTTTAATCAGTGATTAAACTGGAATTTTACTTCCATTTCCAAACATACTCTGTCAGTCCTTACATTCCCTTTTTGTTTTTTAATAAAGCCAAGGCAATAGAAAAACACAACAATCATTAAAGTACCATGGCATGACTTTACTAAGGAGGCATCATACATCTGTATTAGATGTGGTGACTTTGGGGCTAAAGAACAGAAGCTTTAAGCCCGATGAAAAGCCACTATTCCAGAAAGCGAGAAGATATGGCCTGGTAAGAGATACCAGAGGCCTGGTATCTCTTAAACCTAAGTTACTGTACAAGCGCCCCTGCCAGGTCCCGGAGCCCTTTCTAAGCTCGCATTCAGGCAGGCAGTTTAGGACTCCAGGATTGCTTCTTCAAATAGCACGTGTGTCACCTTGACCAAGAAAAACAAACCTTAGCTCTGAGAGTGAAGTACAATAAAAAAATGTGTGATGGTATCCTGCAAGATCAGCACAGGTTTTTTTTCCATCTTGTGTTCCTTTTACAAAAATATTTCTTGTTTTCTAACCATCAGTGAGTGCAGAGTTGAATAGCCCATAATGATTCCATGAGCTCTTTCCTGAGTGGGAGTAGCTAACTTGGACCCCATCACTGTGCAATTATAGTTAGGCTTGCTTTGCCCCTGCATCTTTGTATTTGTTAGCATTTTGTTTTGCCAGCAGTTTGAATGCCCAAGTACTTGCTGTCGTGAGATCCTTCTCTAGCTCTTCCCACTCAGTTTGAGTATCCTGAATAATTTTGTATCATGGGTAAATTTTGTCACTTTATTGTTTACCTCTTTTTCCAGCTCACTGATGACTATATTGTACAAGTCACCTCTCAGCACAGATGCATGCTTTATTATAGCGGTACACGTTGGAGGCTTATAAAGCAAAAGCTGCTCTTCATGATGAAAGCATCCCAACCTCCCTCTAGTCCAGCATCACCATTTCCTAGCAGTACCGGCAGGACAGCTTCATCTCTCCCCCAGTGTGGTGCAAGCCCCTTTTTGCCTGCAGGTAACTTTAACCACGGGGTTGCTTACTGTGAGCTCTTTCATTCTCAGACACTCAGAGTCGCTTCTTTTTCTTGAATTACAGAATTCATTCTCACTCAGCCCTCTCGGCGAACTGAGGAAGACATTGGATCTACCTGATGAACACAGTTGTGGATTTCTTCCCTTTTGAACACATTTCAGGTTATTGCAAAGGCAACAAACAGAAGGGACGAATAGATTCCCTGCAGGATGTATGTTCTCTGTGGGACAAAGCCAGAACTGCTGAATAGTTCTGTCGAGCCCTTTCCTGGCAGCACATGGCTGTGCTTGGCATCAGCGGTTGGAGCTCTAGCCTTTGGAGCATGTAAACCTGGGTTCCCATCCGAGAGGCTCCATTAAGCAGTCCTCTAACAAGTGAGTATTTGATAACCACTAATCTAGTGATTTGGGTTTGGATCTTCCTAATTAGCACTCATTAGGTGACTCCTGCATTACTAGAAGTTCAGGAAGCACCATCCCCACTTTACAGTGGGTGAAGTGAGGAACAGGAATCTGAAATGGCTATTGAGTAACTAGTACCAGCGCTGGGATTAAAGTCTAGGGTCCTAGCCCTACCTTTTAGGGATTATATGCTTTTTCTTACAGAGACAGTCATGTAAAGATTTAAATGCCATTGGGAAGAAGAATGAGAGATGGAGAAAGAGAGGAGAGCAAAAAGGCAGGCGCCTCTGCAATGCTCCTTTGGAGATCATTGATAACAGTATTTCCCAAACAACTAATGAGCTTTTCCTTATTTATGGTGTCAATCTATCTTCCTGAGTTGGTGTTCTCAGCGAAGTGCAGGGCTGGGGAGATGAACTGATTAATGCCATTGGTTTTATCCATCTCTTTCCTGGAGCTTATCGGATGTTGTGAGGCCCTTTGGACTTAATTGCCTTTTGAAAGGCACAGTTGCTGACCTGACCACTGAGGTACTGTCACCAGCACAGCTCCTGGCAAAGCAAAAGGTCTCCTGCCAGAAGCCAATGAGTCTCGGATGCCTTTTGCTAAATAGGGGACTTTTGGTGGAGTTAAACATTAACATCCTTCACAGCTCCCATCTGTTCAAGGTTCAAGAGGGAAGCCATGCTGACTCAGCCTGGCAGCTGTATTTCCTGCTCCAGCTCTCTCCTCCTTTTGCATGATTCACTCGCTTCTCCTCTCTGCCAGGAAGTCTCAGTCCTGGATGAAACAATAAGAAGGCAGCAGAGGGATACATCAGCTATCTTGCACCGTGTCATTGGAGATCAGCTCCTGATAACTTGATACCCTGGTGGGTTTCCTGGCTGGCCTACAAGTAATCTTGGTGCAACAAGAAGGGAAACTCATGGGTACCAAAAGACCCCCCTGAGCTGCGGAAGGATTTCCTTCAGCTGTTAGCAGCGCCATGCTCATGCCACACAGCAGGGCCGTGCTCCTTCCAAGTAGCGCTGCGTAATGGGCTGTGAATTCATAGGGCAGCTTATTCTTGTCTTGCTGTTCCCTGCGTGGCTTGCTTTTATAGGGGCACTTCAAATAAAAAGGTAAATACTTTTAACTGTGGCAGTTTCAAGAAAGTGGCCCGGTAGCAGGGAAGGAGGGCAGGCAGCTGTGAAGAGCTGTTTTATTTAATATTATTGCCACAGTAGATACGCTCCAGCACTGCCAAGTCTTTGGGCGTAGTCAGAGTCTGACATGGGAAATTGATTGTTCAGTGCTGTTGCCTGGCTGCCTCTTGGAGCTGGAGCTCTGTGCTGTTTGCCTCGCGCTGAAGTGTGTTGGAATAAGACCCAGCAATTGCTGCTCATCAGCTCAGAGGCTGCCCGAGGCACCTCTCCCGTGCTGGTGGGACTTAGTTTTGCCTGGAAAGCAAATTGTTTGCTTCAGCATCGATGGAAGTTTGTGAAAATGCAACTACACAATCTCTGCTGAGCTCAGACTTAGAAACAGAGCCAAAAGTCTCGCTGGCTTTGGATAAAACTTCGCTGTGGTTACAGGCGTCATGGGATCATGTGATGGCGCAGCTGATCTTTCCAACATCCAGCATTCTTGCTTTAGGCCTCTTCTCCTGCACAGTAACACATTTAGAGTTCAAAACATCGTCTCCTTGCTAGGGTTGTCATTGATACCAGAATTATCAGTCAGAAGTTGTTGAGAAAACTCCTCTGCCTCTGCTTATGTTCCTGATTCTCCCAGGCTTCTTCTCAGCATTCCAGCCCATCCACAAAGCCTTCAGCATCCTCAGCTGAGGGATTTCTAAATAGACACAGCTTCTCCCTCCAGCACACAGGCACTCTCTTTCCTGCTCAGGACAGCATGCCACGTCTATCTGTTCCTCAAGTGCTTGAGTTCTCAGTCCAGTGAATTAAGGGGGAAATCAGGTCTAAGCTGGACTCTGAGCCCCTTTGAGACATGTTGACAGAGAAATGTATGCCTTGAAACAAGTTGAAAAGAACTCTAGAGAGGGAGAAGAGCAGGAAAGTGTCAGTTGTGAGCTGCCACCCTCTCCCGAGCTCTCTCCCCCTGTGAAGAGCATGGCCCTGGCTCTTCTGTGACCTCTTTCTTCCTGCAGGATAATGCAGGGTAATGGCAGGCAGAAAGTCAGCTGCTCTGCCACAGGGTTAGTCCTCCAGATAGATGAAAGGAAAGTGGTTTGATGTCCAAATGAATGTCATGGCTTTAAAGAAGAATTAAAGCCAGATGTTTCCAACAGGCCTGCTGAGACCAGCCTTTTCTGACATATTTACCAAGCCACCAAGGAGGCCCAGCCAGTGACTGCAGAGCTCCATGTTGGGAACACCCTGTAATCCCAAAGCCTCCACTGTAGTTGCTGGAGGCACCCTGGCTGTCTGCAAGGACGGCACACAAGAGCTGAGGCAGAAATAGTGCTGCCAGCTCAATATTTATTCAGTGTTTGTTTATTCCTCGCTGATGGTGGTGATGGTAGCAAGGGTATAGTAACCAAGCCAGATCTGGCACCTTTGGACAAGACACCGGGGCCAAAAGGTGGTCTAGCTGTGCTGGCATCAGCACTAATTTCAGCGGGGGGCTTGCAGGCACAAGGCAGTGTATTGTGGTTAACGGAGTCCAGAACATCATCCCTGTCTCAGGGACTGACCTCAGACCCCCTCGGACAGGCTGATGTTCAGCCTAACAGACAGGTAAAGCTTTTGCTGTGCAAAAGCAGGGAGAACCAGGGAGAATGCATTTTATTCTTGCATCACACATGTGGCATTTGTATTCAGCTGTGACTGAAGCTAATGATCATTCCAGTGTGGGTAGAACAGAGGTAAAATACTAGGAAAAGGGAAACTGAATCCTTGCCTCAGCATAATCGGGGAGAGAGCAGTGTTTCCTACTTTGCTAGGGAGTAACCAAAACCTCAGGACTGCTGGGTGTGCGGTTCCAGCTCACACCCAGAAGTAATTAATCTTTTTGCCAGCATAGCTGCTCCAGGCTTCTGACTACGATAGGTATTGCTCTTTTGCATTTGTCAGTCTGCCCCGTGGTTATAACATTCAACTTCTGGCCTCTTAAGGACAAATTCCTCATGCTGTGCCCTCAGCGCTACCTTGAGGTGGAGTTTCCTCTTGCGAAATCAGCGGGTGCTGAAAATGTCCTGTTGGCTCTGATGACTGGGAAAGGCTTTGCTCGCTGTTTGAGATGTACGTGTCATGGTCCTCATCTTCCTCCTGCCCCATCCCGACTGCTGGGATGCTTACTGCGCTAGAATAGCAGGTAAGATGCCCTTGAGAACCAGCGTGCCACCGGATCGCTGTCTTCTGCTGGGGAGTAAATGATAAATTCAGAAGGTGCACCCAAAGCAAGCAAAATTAAGTAGAGCAGAGGAAAGTTAGGTGGCAGGAAATCCCAGTTTTTCCTGGCACCTGCTCATATCAGATAATTTGACCTATAACAAAAAATAAATCCCTCTGTAGTCCAATTCCACAAATGACTGCCATAAAAAAAGGAGCTTTCTGCCACACCCTTCATTTGTTCTCACAACATGACATCTCATTTCAGTGTGTGCATCAACTCATTCTGCTCTGTAACATCACGGACAGAAGGCACAATTGTTTCTGCTGTGATTCCAAAACCAACTGTCGAGAGAAGGCCTTTGGGAGAAGAGCAGTGAGCCAGACAGTGTGCTCCCTGGCAGCGCTGGATGGAGTTCAAGGAAAATTGTTTGCCTCACCACCCTCCTGTAAGTTAACAGTAGATGGTGACTAACAGGAAAGAAACTTCCCTATGGTGTAAACACAAAAATGTTTGTATTTGCCTCCCAGATAGGTATGAACGTTATCTGATTATCGTGTGTTCTGTTTCTTGAATTGTGTCGCTTCTGCATCGCTCCCTTAGAAGACAGAGAATTATTGTTACAAAGCATGAATTATTTACTAGCTCTATAGACCGGGCCTGTTTTTCCACCCCATCTGCACTTAAAGCCAATGAGGTTGTAAGTGTCTTGACGGACGTCCATGGCACTGACTGCTTTACCAGCCAGGCATTTCAATTAAATGGGGAGATCTTGCAGGAGTAGGGCAGAGCCAGCTTCCGGAAAATGATCTAATTTGAGCATTAGCGATAATTTGCATCCCATCAAGGCCTGGTTTCAGAATCCTGAGCTCCTGTAGGATATCCAGGTACTCAGCAGGTTTGAAAATGAGGCTCAGAAGCATTTTGTGCTGCGATTTCTCTGTTGCTTTGATATCTCTGTTTAAAGCGATGAGCACACTAAAAATTAATGAGCAGATTTGGAGATAAAGAGGTCCGTAAAACAGGGATAATACTTAACTGCTTCACAGGGGGCATAAGGATTAATGAGTTAATGTTTGCAAAGTGCTTTGAAGATGAAAAGCGCTAAGTCTGATTACATCTGGTGGGTGAAGTAGATGAGAACGAAGAAGAGGTTCTCAATTCCATACTGTAACTACCGGGAACAAGGTCTGGCTAAACGTCCTAGCAAATAACGATCTGAAGACGGTTTGCTCTCACGCTGTCCCTGTGGTTTGTGGTCGGGTAGCCCCTGGCAGAAGATGGGTTTCCAGAACGGATTCCGCAGTCTGTAAATAGTCACTTCTCATTTATTCTGCTCGAAGTTACTTACTCGGTTTCTCCTACTTTAGTTTGCTTTTCTTTCATTCCTGTGTGTCTTGGAGAGGTTGGTCAGTGCAAAGCCCACAGAACCCGCCAGCTGGACCGTCAGTTTGCGGTACAGCGTGTGCCACCGTTTCTGATCTCTTTGGTGGACCCTGATTATTTCACTGGCTCTAACTTAAACACCCCCGGTTTGCTAGACCGTAATTGCAGGTAATAGTGTTAAGCGGGGTCTGGGTTCCCTTGCAGGGCAAGCAGCAGAGTGATCCACAGCAACATCCTACTGACAGGGACCCCAAGGGCTGAAAACTATCCTTCACCCGAACCCAACCCACTACAGCATGTGTCAGTTCTTTAATAGAATACTACTTGATCACCTAAGATCCCCAGAACAGCCCTTGTTCCCCTAAATTGCCTGTAATAAGTTTTGTGGGTCTTTCCCTGTTGCTTTAAAGCAAAATGGTTTCAAAGTGTTTTTTCCTTGCAGGAACCCCCTCCGTGGCATCGTTCTCCACTGCTGCCCCCCGTGGGTCTGCGTAACGCCAGTCAGCCGAGGCGCACGCGAGCAGGATTCTCGTGTTCAGGGCTTTCAGCAGGTGAGATTCGGCCCTTTCTGGGTCAGTCTGACACTCTCATCTCAGGTGTGTCATCTCTGCAGTGCGAATATTAAACGTGCAACGCACGGAATAAACGATTCGGGCTCCAGTGGGCTCAGCCGAGTCCTTCCCGTGGAGATGAACCGATACTGTGGCCCAGCTTTACAGAGACGCTGCAGTGGACCTCTGCCCTTTCTGCATTGGCGCTGTCTGGAGGAAATCCTGTGTCCTGTGACATTTTCCACCGGAGCCAAGGCTTCTCTCCCCTTCCCAGCGTCTCCCCACCCGTTCCTGGCAGTGGAAGCCCAGGCAGCCGCCCCGGCCCCTTCCCCATCTGTGGCCGCGTTCCCGGGGCAGGGCGGACGTAGGGTCTGTAAGCAAGCTGGGGGGGGGAAAGGCGCGCTGCGGCTGCTGGGGGGGGACAGTCCTGCCCTGGAGGTGCTGGCAGAG